GGAGGTGAGGCTGACTGGTCTGTAGCTACCCAGGCCCTCCTTCTTGCCCTTTTCTTGCAGTGAAAAGTGCCGTTCCTTCTGGTACAAACCACCAAGGTTGGCTTTTTCCTACAGGAAACTGGCCACTATAAACAAAAAGTCTACAGTTGAAGAGAGCATTTGGGTGTTTTCGTTCCTCAATGTTTATATCCTAAGACAGCATTTTTCTTTCAGTCTAGATGTGGACTTCTTGAAGTAAGTCTAATTACAAGCTGTATTTTAATACAGTGAAATGCCAATATTGAGTCCAGTGACAAACATAGGAAGAGGGAGCTCCTGCCCCACAATGCTCATTTTTTCCCCTCCCTGCAACCACTCCAATGCTGTAGAGGTAGCTGCTTTCTTAAGGACTGACTATTTATAAACCTTACTCTCCTTCATTTTCTTATCCACGTGCTCAGGCTCCTGCAGGACAGTGCTGTGGTGTAGTTAGACTTTCCCTGAGCAGGAATCTGTCAGGGACCTCTTCTCTCCCTCCATTTCCCCACACTTTGGTTCCTCCCCACCTTAGCTGAAAGTGGAGTTCTCCTGTGCTCTCCTAGGAGCAGAGCTCATCACCAGCCACCACATCCTGGTTTGGGCCTGGTGCTGGCTGGCAAGCTTTGCTCTAATTTCCATTTAGTCCAGAGTTGTCTGCAGCGAGGCAGGAAAAGGGATGGAGGTGGGTACTCTGCTGTCTGACTTCCATGGACACATCCGTTTCCACCTGGTGTTTGACAAGGCAAAACTTGAATTCTGTAAAAGCCACAACATAAATGCTGGGCTTGCCACCTGTGCAACACTCTCACACGTAACAGAGCTAACTTCTCAGGGAAACTAAGTTATGTTTTGCAAGTCCGCAGTGCCGATTTTGGATCCTTGTGCCTTATACCTTGCTGGATAGCAACACTTTAAAAGCACAGGCTCCCTGCTCAGAAAGCCATTACTGTCAACATCTGCAAAATCACCACTGAATCCCACTGGACTGAACTCACTAGAAATGAATTCCCCATCCGGGGACACCTCAAGGAAGTTTTCCTCCTCCTCTAATACCTGTGACCTCTCCTTTCCAGCCACTGTCCAACAAAGCTTGAAAGATTTCATTGCTGAGAGCACTGAAGAAGTCCATTTTCTGAAACTGGACCCCAGAGACGTGCTGTGGAACAAGGACAGACCTCAAAGTCCTTACAGGCAGCACAGAATTGCTGAGGACCATCTGTTTATTTATTTAAAAATCAGAAAATAAAATTTATATTGTTTTCAGGGACTTGGAGGATTATTTATCTTTTTTCTAACCAGCCTGGGGCTGTGATTGTACAAACCTCAGCACACCACCTAATTTCAAACTTCACTGCCAGTTATTTTCAGAAAATTTTTTTATGACATAAAGTATCCTCCTGCAAGAGCTGCAGAAAAGGATTATGGCAACTTACCTTGGATTTGGGGAAGCACAAATCCCTTCACATCACCAACCTGAAGACAGCCATCAGCAGTCCTTGCTGGAATGGAAGGACTGATTTATTTCTGTTTCAGGCTGCATATATTCACACTGCTGCTTGCTTCCTCACAGAAGAGTCTCAGTGCTACCAGAACAGCTCCACGCTGGTAACAGCCCCAACTTGCTCCTCTAACCGACAGTGCTCCGGCTCTGATTACAGCCAGAGCCTTCAGGAGAAATATACAACCAGCTGAACCCAAAATTGACAGAAAGCACCCTACCCAATGCTCAGGTCATATTTACTTCAACAAAGTCCTGCAGTCTTTGTACCCCAGGCCACTGAGACCCCTCTTCCAGCTGAACTGGGTGCAGCCACAGAGCTGTGGAAGGTGCGACCTGCCACCCTTTGGGGAAAACAAAAAAAGAGTTTCCAGTGAATCAGAAAACACTTGGAAAGAGGTTTATTACATGAGGCACATTACATATGCCCATGTATTACTTCATCGGTGCAAGATACACCACACAGAAATGGGGTGACTACGACAAGCTGCCTTACCCAGACACTTGCTCCCAGACGTACCCTCTGAGGAACTCCAGCTCCCGGCAGATGAAGAAGTTACACCCGTTCATCTTGTCAGGCAGGAAAAAACAGCATTTCTGGTCATGAGCAGAAACTGAGCTGTCCACCCAGGAACACGGGGCTGGGACAAACCAGCGAGCCGGGCTGTACTGACACTTTGTTTGACAACGGGCACTTCGGTACCCAATAGCTGGAGGATATAAAAACTGGATTATGCACTACAGCTGCTGTTCCATGCTGGCTCCTGTTTGCCCAATTTGTATGTAAGAACAGAGGCGAGAGGATGTACACTCTGTAAGGACCTAATGAAAGCTATTTTTTGCCATACTATTCACCAGGGTTTCATTTTACTAATACCAGCAAGAAACAGATATTGGACAAAGTAAAGTTCAGTACATCACTGAATATCTGCATCTTCAAATATAAAGCTTTTTTTTTTTTAACATTCAAAATTTACAGCTTTTATATTCAATTAAAAATTCCCATAAGTTAGAATACATAAGCATTATTTCAAATACAGCTCAGGAAAAATAGCTACAGCAAAATTTAAAATAAGGTAACAGCAGCAGAATTCTGTCTAAAAACAGGAGAGTATGATGTCATTTACAGTGTCGCTTCTTCAAGTAGGTAAAAGAACAAGCAAATCATTTAAGAATAAAACTACTGTTCTGGAACACAAAACCATCCTGATAAGATAATGTTTACATATGCAGAACAACTAAAACACATTTTATGTTTAAAACATGGACAAAATATTAGCTGTTTTAAAAGGCTAATATGCAAATCATGTCACATCAAGCTGTGTTACAATGCTATACTTAAACCTATCCTTAATTTATCATAAGAACCTTACCAGAAATTTATACTGGAAACTGTTCCAAAGGAAACAAAAACCAAACACGTATCACAAACAAATGAAGAAATGTTAAAAGCTTGCTCGAAAACCCTGATTTAATCCATACCACTGGCAGGAATTACCGTGCTGTGTTTGTACAGACTTAATATTTATGACGAGGCTATTATGTACAGTTCCACTCAGGATTTATTTGCATTTGAAAACTGTGATACTCATAGCCTACAGCACACCAAACAAAAAAAAGGTCTTTAAAAATGAGGGAAAGCTCTCCAGGAGAGTTCAAAGTGCATTATTTTAAAGAGTGCTTCTCAGAGCTATCTCTTTCTGCAAATGCTTACAATAAAAAGTGCTTTTTTTTTTTTTACTATACAGACGGACATGCAGCATGTTTGTGCTTTTTTAAAGGCTTTTCATTTAATTGCTGCTGTGAACTAGCATAGCTGCAAATACTGATATTTATCAGCCCTTTTGGGTTCTGGAGGGCAGAATAGGAGGGGGCAAGAAGAAGAGGGATCTGAATGATAAAAATCAAAAAATACTTTACCACTGCTTTTTTTTTTTTGCTTTCTTATTGCTAGCAGCTGGTACTGGAACTGACAAAGTGCCTGGTAACCAAACTAATGTCACTCATTAACCACCTCCTCTGTCAAAAGCGGGCAACACACAAAGCATTACCCGTTCATTACTACACAGAGGAAACCCGTTTAAATACTGCATGAATCACAGAGCAGCTTCAGAGAACGCTGGAGATGTGCGCATTCCCTGACTGGAACGTTATTCAAATACAGCATCTCAAACCAAAGATGCTTTTGCAATAACCTTCCCAGGCAAGGGCTGTTTCACCAAGAGAAACAGAATAGTGGTTTTAATTCTTAATGTGACTGAACTTTTTTATCTATTTTTATATAGGTCTATTAAAATATAGATTATATATACACACACATACATATATACTTATATATATGTAAAATGCAAGTGCAGGTTTAATAATTTAAACTTTTTACAAGTTTGCATCTAAATAGGGTCCTGTGTGCCTTAAATACTTACTTCCTATTGTACGAGCACATTTTGGCTCAGCAAATGTCATCTACAAGTTTTGCCCCGTTGATCCCACGATAGGTTACTCTGCTAGGCCGGACTAAGACCCCATGGTTCAGCTTACAGGTGAAATAGCGCTTCTCCCCCACGGAGCCATCGTTCTTCCCCTTGGCACTTCTGAGTTCAAGTCCGAGCCATACCCCTGGTGCAAAGTCCGTAGGACCAATGTACCTGATTGTTCCCATCTCGTTGGAGCTGGTCAGAAGAACCTGGGAGCCTTCATGCAGCTTCACTGGTCCCTCTGTGTTAGCTGCAGCGGTGGTGTTACTCCAGCTGCGCCGCAACACAGAGTTCTTGGATCTAGTTAGGAAAAGAAACAAAAGAGGGGAAAAAAAAAAAAAAGTCTTTTCTCTCTCTAAAACACCCAGGGCAAATCTGTGACTCAGGGAAGCACATGGGGAAAAAGAACCCCCTCAAATCCCTTTTTTAAAAAACTGGTTTTGATCTCATGTCAGCAGCAAAACACGTAATAACATTAACAAGCTGGTACACACGGCAGGCTGAAATACTTGGAAAATCAGTTTCCTCTCATCTGATGCTATGATCTACAGTATTTATCATAGGTGATAGTATTGGTAAATTAAGCAGTAAAAAGCATTTTACTTGGGGCTTGAAAGAGTTTGACCAAAACAACTTTTAATGGGCAAGCATCAGTCAGGCCCACCAGGACAAAGTGAAGTCCTTCAACAAGACCCTCTGAACTTCATCCAGCTGTGTGAAAATGCAAGAACCTGGAGAATATGCAGCTATGAACCACTGGTAAACAATGTAATGCCAACCTGAATCCAAGGACTGTAATCCTGGACACCCACAGAAAGACTACCAGTCTACTACTGGTCCATTTTAGAAGAAAAACAAACATGTAAAGGTGTAGATATTACACACGCATGAAGATTTGCTTTTGAACAAAACACAGTAAAGCTACCAGCCAGATCACTCATCCATTTTAAACTCAAGACACTCACCTAACAAAGGAGTTTCTTCTGTTTATCTCCTTCTGTGAAGATGCAGAAGTGGTGCTTAGACTGCGTCTAAAACCTAAGTGGAAAGGTTAATAAGTTGCGTAGGACTTCTTAAAAAGAACAAACACAAAAAAAAAAAACAACACTAAAAACAACCAACACTTTACTAACTCATATTCTTTGTGTTTTCTTTTATGCTGCTTCCACTATATTTGCTACAGATTCTCCCCTCCAATTCGGAAGTGATGAAACTTCTCGTGAAAATAAGTGTTCATGACACATTCAAATTTTCAGAGGACAGAAATGAAATTGAACAAACAGAACACGAGTAATTTGAAGCCAACTTCTCACAAAAAGCTTAAGTAAGGAAAAATAATGACTTCAATTAGCTCACAGAAGCTTTAGTCATTTCAGATGGACCCCTCCGTACACTGATCCCTTCATTAGTCTCAGTTTAGATTAAGGAGCAGGTTCAATTTCTGTTTAACTCTGATTAGAATGCAATACAGTAGTAAGGGAAGAGAATCAGTACTTTTAATTCTAACGTTATTTCTGCCAGTATAGGGTTAAATAACAGAGTTTCTTCCGCAGGCCTCATTTTTAGGAAGGGACCAGCCAGATGATTTGCTGGCATTTGGGTTCCTTGAGAATCTATTCTGCTTTTGGAGAGGTTAGCTTTGTTCTGGTAGGTTCAACCAGCAGGTTTTGGTTCCAGAACAGCAGCCTGCAGTAGGCTACCTAAGCCAAATCACGAGCACCTTACACTCCTACCTGGAAAAGTGTGATTCATTTCACTCGAAGTCCCTGCGAGAGAATCCAGTGAACCTGTTAGTCTGAAAAACAGTAACACAACAAAGAAGTCATTTCAGTTCAACCCTGAACAAACCTACTGCTGGGGTCCTTCCTGTCAAATACTGATTCAGTTCTGATTCTTTCCCTCCCCTGTCCACCCCCAAGAGACACAAACATTTCAGTTGCAGTCAGGCTGGTATCTAAGAGATGCCTGGAGCAAACCTGTTCATTCAAATTACTTGCCTTTTACTCAGCAAGAGAGGCAGCAAATTTGAGGCAAGTTCTTTAACGGTTTGGCTAAGCTAGGACATTCAGGGAAAGAAAAGCAAGAACACATCTAGAGTAACTGGACTCAAACATAGCAGGGAAGAGCACAGCGCTCCTCAGATGTTCTTCTTGAAACCTAAGAAAGAGGCTACAAAGTGGTGGATGCTTTGGTTCCTCTGTGCAGTTAGCTGCAATGAGAACTGTAATTCCAGTCATGGCCAAGGGAAACTTCCTGTTATAACCAAATTTTGCTGAGCACACCAGGATTGGGTCATGAAAGTAAAGTTTAATGAACACAAACTGTATCAGAAATGGAGGCCCTGGAAGGAAAATATTTGAAGAGGCTGCAAGAGAAACAGCAGGACCTGCATTGCCAATTTATACTCTGCTTTCAAAAAGCTGATCTAAAATCCACCAAGTTTTTAATGGAGGTTATCAACTTCCAACAGCAGAAGAAAACATTTCTTTCTTCCACATCTGCTGCAAAACTTTGTTTCCCACTGGAAACGTGGTAAGAAAGCATCCGGAAACGCAAACATTACAACAGCTTCAGAGCTCACCTCTGTACACGAGATGGTGGTGCAAATATACCGTATCTGGGAAGACAACTGAAGTACTGAATGCCTCCCACGGAGCCATCGTTCTTCCCATGGGGCTTGTCCAGTTCAATTCCACACCAGAATCCTACAGTTCAAAACAGTACAAGCATGGCACTTAGAACAAAACACCACAGGCTTTTCTTCATCTAGGCAGCCGGTACAGTTTAGCATTCACTTGCACCAAGGAAAACAGTTCCTAGCTAGAAACTGTCCAGAGAGTTATTTTAGAACACATATATTTATTATTATCTGTGTAACTAGGCAAAAATTTATATAATAATAAATCTAAATAAAATCATCTCAGCACTTTTATATGCTTTCAAGGAAATTACTGACATTTAAACTACTACAGAAAAGGTAAAACCTTTGATATATGTACTAAAGCCAAGCAGAGTATTAGTGAATTATAACAGTGGCTATCTGACAAAGGGGAGAAAGGAAGGAGCATCAGTAGTGGTTCACATTTCCCTCTTCAGTCCTCTGACCACATGGTTTATGCCTCATCTGAGATCATCAACAGTAAAATTAAAGTTTTGCTATTAATTCATTCCTTCTCTCCATCTAGCAAGTTACAATTAATACAAATTGCAAGGCTGGTTGTAGGATATTGAGAGAAGGGTCCAAGAATCAGAACTGGCCAGCAATTCATCTCGCAGAGAGCACCGCATAGGCATCAAGATGTTCATAAGCTCGATCATTCATAACCTGTGATAAATGGGAGCTAATTATGTAAAGGTGCTAAATTTCATACTCCATTAGCAGTCCTTATGCTAGCCATCCCCAAAAGATTCAAAATCTAATTCAAGTCACTTGGTACTAAGGCACTGGATAAAACAGTAATTCTAATTATCAGCTCAAGAAACAGGGGAATGACAGCTTATGAATTAGAAGGGCTCAGCACATCAGAAGTTCTCCCCTTCCTGTTTTCGGAATTAAATAAAGAGCTGCATTGCAGCAAAAGAAATAAAGTTTGGGTAACTTCCAGAGCTTCAATACATATTAAAATTTAAATACTTAAAAATGCACTTGTTACATTTTCTAGAAATTACCACTTTTGCAAACAGTGAAGATCTGTGGTATTTCCATCCTCACTTCTTCCAATACCATGTTTTTCTTCAAAAACATTCAATCCCAAATTTGGGAGGAGAGGGAGGAGACTTGCACTGTCAAACAGGTTTCTGATTTTACACTTGTTACAGTGTATTTGGAAAACTGGTCCTTTTGTCATTGTTCACTTTGTGAGCAACAACATGAAGGTAAAAGTGATCACATAAAGTGCAGATTGACAGGAAAGTCTGAAGCACAGAGTGCCTGCAGTGAAACTGGGGAAAGGGGCAGGAGGGAAAAAAGCTGCGTACTGTGTGCTGTGGTACACCACAACCTCACGTTCTGTCACTCCAACATTTCCTTAAATATCGATGCCACCAAGTGTCAAGACAGAGTATTGCTGCTTGCGTGTCAACCAAATGGACCTCATTTGAACTGGCTACCCACACCAACGCTCACCAACTGTTTTTGCATTACTCTTGCAAGAAGAAGATTACAGATAAGGACATAAAGAACGTAGAATTTGGTTACAAAGAACGAGTATCCAGAAATTAGTTTCCATCCTTTAGAACAACTGCGATGTGATTTTTAGGAAGGGGTGGGAGGGAAAAGCTGAATGGGAGAATGATGAGAAAAAGGTGAAAGAGTTTGGGGCTTTTTGAGATGCTTGCAATGTTTCATCTGTCCTGTGACCTAGTTTTGCTAGTTAAAATTTAAATGCTCACAATTACCCTCTTAAAGATGCCAGGAATACGACACGATAAGAGCACCAGTATTGCAAGAGATGAGCTGTGTCAAAATGGCTATTTCAGTATCAAAGCATTTCTCCTAATTAAGCTGTGTTAGTGAACAAGTGAAAGTTGTATTTTAAACCATTATTTTTTCCTGGCAGTCACAGTAAAGTAAAAAATAGTCAATGAAACATAGGAGAAAGAACTTTGAAACATATCAGTAAAATCAGACTACTTTTTTTTTCAGGGAGTGAGGAAAAAGATGGAGTTCTCTCAATGTTTATGCCCTCACATGCAAAGCTATTCAGTACTGATTCTATAACAAGAGTATTGCAAATACCTGGTGCAAATTTTGTCATCCCACAAAATCTGACAGTGCCTGTTCTCTGTCCTACCACCAGTACTCTGTCTCCAACCTGAACTTCTCCTTCGCCAAAATGATTTTTCCTTGTAGCCGGAGAACTATGCAACCCTGTTCAACAGAAGGAACAAAGATCTGGAATCAGTGACATTATATCTTTAAAGTTTAGGAAAGTCTTAAATAGTGGGCCAACTGATTGGCAGAATATCTATCTTTAACATAAGTGTACCTTTAACACATGGCAACACATCACAAATTTTGCCTAGACAAAGAATTGCTTTGCTTCAGCACAAAAACCGTGGACTACAGCCTTTTCTCTGCACTTGAAAGGTGCAGTGACCAACTACAAGAACAGTTTTCCTCTTGAAGATGTCCTAAAATAACTTTTTTAAAGTTGCCAAACTTAAGTTTATGGTTAAACTACCTCCCAAGTGTCTTTCTTGAACTACCTCAGATTCTGAAACAACACAAATAGTTCTACATCAGCATTCAACACAGCAGCAAACTCCCAGCTGTGGAAACACACCTCAATAAAACAGACCATACCAGCACTCATTTTAGACGAGGCAGAAGACACTCGAGTCCCTGCTTTTTTATTGCTAGTTGAGTTCCGCTTCTTGCAGTAATTCTGTTTGCCTTCCAAGGAGGTAGAAGAAGAGGAAGAGCTGCTGTACACAGGAAAACCTAAAAAACATAAATGAAAATAGTCCTTCAGAAATTGTCTATGGAAAAGGACAGGTTACGCAGAAGCGAAAGCTTCTGTAAGAAGGCGGTTGTTTGTTCTCCACAGTGGGCAGGAGACAAAGTCAAGAGCCAGAAGCAGAGGCTGTTAAGCAGCATTTACACAGAGACCTTTCAGGAATTAATTACATGAGTACATCTGCCCCTGCCTGAGGGATCAGCTGACAGCTGAGTGCTGGAATAGGTTTCCAAAAGCCCCTTCTTTGCTCCTCTGTGAAAGTTCTCCTAAACAGTCACAGAATCACAGAATCATTTGCTTGGAAAAGACCTTTCAGATCACTGAGTCAAACCACAACCTGTCCACTACTACACCATGTCTCTAAGCACCTCAAGTACCCATCTTTCAAATATCTGCAGGGATGGTGACTCCACCACTTCCCTGGGCAGCCTGTTCCAGTGCCTGATAACCCTTTGGGTGAAGAAATTTTTCCTGACACCGAATCTAAACCTCCCCTGGCACAACTTGAGCCCACTTCCTTGTGCTTGTCACTTGGGAGACGAGACCAACACCCACTTCACTACAACCTATGCAAGTCCCAGGCATAGTTATTAAAATATGAGAGCCTTAGTAATAAGAGTCCATGCCACCACACTTTCAGCATCCAGCCATCTGATGAGAAGTGGAAGGCAGGTGATATTATGTGAGTGAATTATTGTCTGGATTAAAGCCTACTATATTCCATTACATACTGTATTAATATTAAAATCTCTACTATAAAATAAGAATGGGAAATAAATCGCTTTTATCTCCATTTGCAAACCCTGATGTCTAAACTGTCCAATAAGACTGATGTTCAGCCTTTCTCCTTCCTTTTCAAGGCTCTCCCTGGTTCTCTCCTTTTCTACCCCATTCTACCCAAAGTAAGGCAGGGTACAGTAAGACATGTCTACACCTCAGTTTCTCAACATATCAAAAACGAACAGAATACTGCTTATCAAACTTTCCAGAACACTCAGTGGCTTCATTCAGTAGCTTTTGCAAAGCACCTTGCCATCGACACAGGGTTTATGTGTTCAATATAATTTAACCCTCCAATTTAGCAAACTGAAGGGACTTCAGCAGGCCCTAGAATCCATTCCTCTGCTATCAGGCAAAACAACTATTTGTTAGAACACTCTACCAGGCGTGTGTTTGACCTGCTCTTAAAAAGCCTCCCATCAGGGAGATCTTGTGACTTCCTCAGCAATGTAGTTCACCCCATAATTATCTGTACTGTTACAGGGGCTTTTCCCCCTAATACAAAACCTAAATTACCACTTTTAGCTCAAGATTTCTTATTCTTGTTACACATGCAGAATGAGTCACACTAGTCTTCGTATTTGAAAGCTTCCTGTTTTATCCTTTTAATCTTCTGTCTTTTTAATCACACAATTGCAAATTCCAACAGCTTTTTCTCCCAAGCCGTGTTTTATACCTGCAGTTTTGTGGTGTCTTCTTTCAGTTCTCTCCAGTTGATTCACATCTTTTTGAGATACAGTGTCTACAACCAGATGCAGTGTTTTGGCTGAGGCCTCAGCTGAGCCAAGGAAAGCATCCAGGTCTCTTCCCAGATCACAGCTGACCTTCCCTTTGACATATCGCTTTTGCAACAGCGCAACGCAGACGACTCACGTTTACCTGGCGATACTCAATATCCCCATGTCCTTCTCTACAAAACAATGACCAGGCACACCATTCCTAGAGTGTGTTTATACAGCCGGCTGTCCAGCCTTCCTACATAACTTTGTGGTTGTCCTCACTCCTGCGTCTTCCCCGTCTTACTTTCTAGGTTGGATGTTGGCTTTTCCTAAAGGTTCTGCACCTGCCTTACAGCAGTATCATCAAAACCACCAGACCCCAAAGTAAGGCTTCCCTCCAGATCACTTTGGAGCCTTTGGAGTCCTATTATTTGCAGATAGCATATTCTAGCCATCAAACTGTATGCCAATCAACTTCACTGTGTAACCAGAACCGGAAGAACCAGCCATTTAGTGCCCTCCATGAACAAAATGTTGGAAACCTCTGTCTACACAAGTTTTTAGCTGACCTCTGAAAAAGCATCATGTAGGACAGTGCTTAAATACCTTACACTACTCTCTTCCCCAAGTCTCTTCCTCACAACTGTTCACTCAGAGAGGACATCAAAAGATGTTTTTCTTCAAAAAGAGTACATTCAAAGTCACAGTCAAATTATTGCAAAGAAATACTGGTTTTAGCAACACTTGTAGTATGATTTCATAAACAAAACCTCAAAGGAAACCCAATTTTCACCATTTGTTAAAGACACTTCTGAAACTGCAGGAAACTGACGCTTCAGGTTCAGTGCACAAAATACTGACGCAGTAGAAGTCACTACCCGACTCTGAAACTAGGGAATTGCAGAGAACGATTCGGATGTAAAAGGAAAGTTTTTAAAAGCTAGACTTTCAGTTCTTATATGTGAAGTTTGTTGTTATGAGTCTTCCACGATACAGTGGCAAGACTGTTAAGTGCTGTTAGATGGTAATTTATTACACAAGCTTGAACACAGGAAAGGATAACAATTCCAACAGTACACACACGGTTCTTCATCAAAATCCAAGCAGTAATGGTACAGGGCAAAAGGTCTCCCTCAGAAACCTAAGAGGGTAATTCTGCAGATCCTCTCTAAGATCATTCACTAAGAGACAGCTTTCAGCTTTAAGGGCTTGTCTATATTCGGGCATGTATTGGGATAGAGGCTGTTACCAAACCAACACAGAACGCCAGCCAAACACCCAAACAAATTACCCCTAGTAAACTAAATGTGTACAGCCCACTTGGGACGTGAATACAGACAGGCAAGGCAGCTTTTTTTTTTATGGTGTAGATACAGAACTTTTACAGAGGTAAGGCAGTAACAATACTTCCTCTACCCAAAATTCTTCTCAAGATGTTAACAAATTGAAAACTTAGTTACCGTCCTTTGCAGGTACCGTTTTTCCCCTGTTAGCAGCCATAAAGTTGTTTTCAGAAGCACTGTCTTTTTTTGCCATATTTAAGCCTATGGAAAGAATATATACAATGAAATACAGGCATCCTAACCACAAACAAGAATTTCACAAGAAAGTCACGTACAAAAACAATTTGACAAATGCGCAAATTCGCGGCTGCATAGACCTGTAGAGTTCCTTAGAGTCTTGATAAATGGCTAAAACAAGACTGCAGAATTGTTTTGATGGATAAGCAGAGATGTTAAAACAGTCCAAACTATCTTGCCAAACAATAAACAAATTATTTGCAAAATAGAAATGTTTATATTGAAGCTTTACTGAAATCTTTCAAACATTTACATCTATTATATACACAACATTCACTGTCATAGTACTTGTGTACTATTCCCTAGTATTAATTTCACAATTTCTGCATTAAAGATTACACAGAAAAGTTGAGATACTTGAGACCCAATCTTCAGTCTACAAATAATGAAGTATGTCAATATCATCTTTAAGAGCCCAGCCCTTAGAGCAGCACTCTTGTGATAAGCACATGAACTAGTATTGCCACATAAGTTATCATTTGTGAAGTCATTTTGCATTTCTGACAGTTTCCTACCCTAACTCAATGAAGAAAAAGCTCATATATAATTCATCCCCTCCCTGCCATGAAAGAAAAATCACATCTGTTCTATTTAACTATATCTCTTGGCTCAATTCAGCTACAGGGACTGAACTGGTTTGAAAATATACTGCGTTTTCCAAAATTTTATGGTACAGCCATTAAGGTATCAGATCAAAAACTAGTGTTTGTGACTGATAACACATTTCTCCATTTGATCACAGTAATCCTTCTTCTAAAAACTTACCATCAATATGGTGAATTATTCAAACTCAGCAAAAACAAATCCAATGTGAAAACAGTATTATATTTTACTTTGCAGCTTATAGCTGGATCTACAAAAAGCATATTCTTTTTTCCTGGATCATTACAAACCAGTGTATCGCAGGAATGAAGTTTAAGGGAAAGAAACGTAATCCGGCAACGCACAAAAACGCTACAAAACACAGCCCTGCCTCTGCAGCTTCAGCCTCCCACTCGCTGCAGCCAGGGAATCAGGCAGGCACGTTAATTCTAATGGACCCTTCAACGCAAGAGCATCTTACAAGTGGCAGCTTCCAGGTGACTGCCAGTGGGTGTAAGCTCTGCCAGCCAGATGATGCACAACTCACTCTCATTTTTACCTAAAGCAAGTATCAAATGCTTAGAATTTACAAAGATACAAGTGCACCTTTATGACAGGAAAGGGGGTTCACGATTAAACTGACTGGAACACGCCAGCTGTGACAAACAAAATGGTCCTTTTGGTTATAGTTTAATGAGCTACAATCAGCTCACAACGAACCGAATGAAACATCGAAAAATATTCAATGGAAAAAGTCAGCTTAGATCTGCTCCTGAGCAATACTCCTAACAAACCGATTATTCTGAGCAGCTTTTTATGCAGGATGTCCATTTATAAATAGCTTAAATCTTGTGCTAATTGTAAATACACATAATTAGAGCTTACTTCCCCCTCAATCTTGGTAGAGTTAGAGAAACCATCCCAAATGCTGCCAAAATGCCTCTCTCCTACTGGCCTGGCACACTGTTCCTACACCCTGCATCATATTGCTGGTAAAGAGTGGAATGTTTCAGGGTGCATGAGCAAATTTCCATCCCCTAAGCTGCGCTGCCTTAGCATGAGTCACCTAAACAGGGTTGGAAAAGCAAAAGAAACGCTAATGCAATGTATTTCATGACATCATTATGTCGCCAGCCAGACACGGGGGCAGACTCTGCATGGTGAGCACTGCACATAGCAGGGAAGAGTCTGTCCTCCAAACACCTTGGGACCTAAACAGACACAAAAGATGCCTCGTTCTCACTTCACGAGGAGGGAACTTGCACTGAAGGATTATGGAATTTGAATCAAATCAATTACCAAAAGACTAAGCCAAAGCCAGGAACTGGCCTGTAACTCCAACTATTAGACCAAGGCCATATTACAAGGCATCCTTTCTCTTCTAATGTGCCTCTGGTTTTACTCTGATAACTTAATGAGCAGATAAACCACAATCAGTTAATTAGTTCCTTGATAATTTTGACAGAACATTAATTAAATTTCTTCAATTTCTATACATAAGGGTGTATATAGATTAGTTTCTACATTTTCACCGATTTCAGTGAGATGTTTCAAGTTACCCAGGAAGATCTTAGTAAACGAAATCACATTAAATATAGACATTTAACTAGTATCACAGCCAACCAGAGATTATTTTAAAGGCTAGTTAATAAACATCACCTTCGCATCTCCAAGTGATGAACTAATTCCAAACAAGTATTTTAATTCCAAGATTTACATGGCTGGTGCCAGTTCTTGAAGATCAGTATCTCAAGCCTGTCTCAACACAAGAAAATACTCACCACAATTCACTTTGGAAGTTATGTGCGTCACATCTATTTTCTTGGCTTTGACAAAAGGCGAAGACTGCATAGAAGAACTTTGTACAGAGCTTCTTCTGTGACCAGAAGCCTTGGTTATTTTAGAAAGAGGTGCAAAGATACCTGGAGAGAAAACGGTATGTGCCAAAAAAGAACAAGGAGTAATTTTTTTGGCTGCTATCTCTTACATCAATTCATTTAAGGCTTTTTTTTCAGCCACGGTCACGGCTTGCTATGCTGTCAAAGCACTTTAGGAGAGGAAGGACTGGCTCAAATGAACAGTGGGACCAAAAGGCTTACCAAGCACCTTGAACAGAGTAATCCAGCAAATCAGTAAAACTATCGACCAGAATCTTTGTCCTAATGGTAACATTCAGTCTCCACTGTCACAAAACACAAGACTTTGTATATCATGAGTGTCCATGAAATATCAATTAAAATACCTCAATCTGGAAGTTGGAAAACCACCACAGGCGTGAATCTCTTAAAAAGACAGGCAAAGCAGGTAAAAACACCATGGCCATTATTGTCACAACACAAATAGGTTCAACAATGTAGACGCTCGTTTCAGTGGTTTTGCAACCAAAACACTTGAAATGGTTAAAAGAGACAATAAAGCACTAAAAAGAAAAGCAACAGAAATTGTTCTCTGTTTTCATTCACCCAAAAGGTTCATATCTCCCAATACTTTTTTCAAAACTCAGGATTTAAGAAAATGTAAGAAAAAAACAAGAGGTTATACCGCGTTTCGGTGCGCACTTGAAGTACTGGACCTTCCCAACACTTCCATTGTTCTTTCCTTCCGGTTCATCCAGCTCTACTCCAGCCCACTGGCCACTGGCAAACTTCGTTGTGCCACAAAATCTTAATGTCCCAACCTAAAGCAAAAAGCATCAGCACAGGATGACTTTGTTAAACAAGTACTGCCTACGAGAAGACAGTACAGATTACGAAGGAGACAGCAAGTCACCTCCAGCTTGTGATCACAACAGAGAAATACAAACAATCTCCCTTGATTATTGACATTCCAATGCCAGCCAATGAATTCTCCAAAATGTATGAGTCTTTCTGCATCTATTTTGTCTTGAACAAAAGCAGTGGTTACAGACAGATCTCATATCAGACAAGAATTAGGCAGTAAGCACCACTGTACAATACAACTCCAAGTCAGCAACGCCTAACGAGAAGTTTTACTGTCAGTGTCTTCCACACCAATAGCTCCAGAATCATGGCTGATTATCTTGCTGAACTGGAGATTCCACAGAAATACGAGATAAAACATCCTATACAATATATCTCTGTGTGTACAAATATGGATATCTAGAAATACACATATTTTTCATATATATTGCAAAGGTTAAAAGGTAAACTTCAGAGTATGCTTCTTTTTCCCCAAAGAAAAAATTCATCTTTTATTCACTCCTTATGATTACAGAAAATGTAAAAAGCCAGCAAATGTTCTAACATTTTCTCACTGTTTCAATATGGACCGTGTAGATTCTGAACAGACAAGAATATCAAGACAGACCAGTGTTGCTGGCAGACCTCAGTCTCCACAAATACACATTACAAGCTCACACACTTCAAACAGACGAGGAAGGAATAACTAACAGAGATGCATTTAACACTGATTTAAATTCAATTTTAGATTTGATTTTTAAATTAGTTTTAGTCAGAAAAACCTTTGATCTTTCAGTTGCTCAGTTTCCATTATCTCATGTGACCTTAATACTATTAGTTCATTTGTCACTACGACTTGACTGTCTAATCCAGCTCTCAGAGAGTAAACAGACAGAAACCATCTTTTTTCTTTAAAGCCTTCCAGCTACTCTTTCTTAATATTCTGTAAAGAAACAGACGTGACCCAGAGCTTATTCTTCTTTTACTTTGCAGATCTCCTTTAAACTTGATTGTTATAGGCAGACGCATCACACTAACCTAGACCCAGACTTTTTAGCTAGCAAACCAGAGATGAAACTCAGCCAGAGGAAGCTTGGCCAAGCCGCCCAACAGACTCCTCCACTCTCCAGGCACCAGCCAAAGGGCACTTATGGAGCAGAGGGAAGGGATGAGCACCTTAAACTGGAGGTGGAGATGACAAAACTGAGGCTCCAGTTTCGCACAAGCCCTGGGACTTGTGCAGGCAAGGAGCAGAGGACACCTTGGAGGATATGAGAAGCAGCGCGGGAACAGGAGAAAAGTTTTCCTCCAGCTACTGGTTTCCCTGCACTCCCATTTCAGTGAGCGTCCATTCAGACAACACACGATCTAGCAGAGCATGAGCTGCTGAAGCTGGGGGACCCCAAACCACAGACACAAACACTGGCTTACACAGCTTTCTACCCTGTAAGACAACTAGAACGGCAAGCGCAGGAGGAATCAAGAGGAACCCATCTTTCCCTCTGGCATATACTGTGCTTGGCTTTCAAGCTCCATTAAAGCAGATATTTTAGGAGACTGCAGAAGTAGGAAAGAGAACAGGAATCCATCAACATTGCCTGTAAATATATTGCCATTCCAGTGCCCTCATCACAGTTTCCGAAGTCCGGAAATAAGAACCGATCCAAGAGGAGGTTAAGATTGGGCACCATTTCCATCATCCCGTTCCCACTTTTGCTCCACCCTGAGCACATTTATGAGTATCAAGGGAGAGGAGAAGACAGGGCTGAGATCAACTTCTCCATTCAGATAAATGGAGAAACTGGGTGGGAAACAATGTGGGAGTAAAGCAGAACAGCTCCTTGCACACAAAGAAAGGAAGGGAGGAAAGCAGACGAGGAAAAGGAAGACCAAAAAGCACAATCACATTCCTCCTTCCCACCCGTCAGATGACAGCTCTGGCTCCTTTAAAAAAAGCTAGCTGAAAAGCCCTGCTGGCCTTTGGCAGCAGAAAAAGAACTTGCAACAACTGCCCTAAAAAAACACTGTAATAGCACACTCAATAATGAAAAAAAAAAAAAGAAGTAACCAAACCCAGGAAGCCTTATCTGCACACAGTAAGGACACTGCAGTACAAACAACTCTGCTGGTCTTACTTGGAGAACAGATACACAAGAGGACTAATTCCTTCCCTTTCTTTTTGTCAAGCCTCCATTAACTTGCACTTACATTATCTCCCCTTGCTTTCACTGTGCAATGGCTTTCTGTAAAATAAACTTCCATGAACCTCTTACAGGCTTCAAAGAATAAGCGGCTTCCTGGACGTACTTCAGTTAAAATGCCTTCTGCATAGCTACTGATTCCTTCCCTTCTCCTGGCCCAGCTTCAAGAATACACCAAATGACAATACAGAATGGAACCTGCTTTGCACTCTCCGTGGAGTTCACTGGAGAACACTTCAGCTGTGCTAACCACATCTGAAGTTCTACTAGAAAAATTATTTCAAGGTAACACTACTCAAACATTAAATTTTGCTCGCAAATGCCTTCAATATTTACCAGAATAAAATATTTCAAATCTCTTTTAAAGAGTTCTAGCACTCCTAAATCACTTCAGAGCCCTTGCTATCCAAGCAAATAAGAGGTATGAATACTAACTGCAATATTAGTCTTACATTTGTCAAATATAGTTTTGAAAACCCATCCAGCAGGGTGTCTTCTTAAAGGCTGTTCACATTTGAGCTGGAATAGCTACATTCTTATACTTCCACAACACTGTGTAACAACCCCGTTGGCACAGCACTGCTTCAGAGATTTTAGCTGCATTGCACCAGTGAAATTGGGTGACTATAGGCTAAGCAGAATTGAAGTTTTCTTTTACTGCTTTCTGGAAACTATCGGGGTAATTCACGAATGCATACTCATAACTGAAAGCCAGGCCACTCACAAAGTAATCTGTAAATTTTACCATCATTTTGATGTGACACCAAAAATGCTCATAAAAGCTGAGCCATGCTGATGTATAATAGGAGACTCTTAAAAGATTTTTTTTTACAGATACAAAATGCAAACAGCTGTCCAAACAGCTTTTTCTAGTAGTGACTTTCTTTGACACGTAACTGTTCAGCTTATTACTTTTTGTTACCAGATCCTTACTGCCATCCAGAGCTCATACCTTCCAGAAATTGTTTCAGACCCTCAAATTTGAGGTATGCCTCCAAAGGGGTAAATAAATTGACTGTCAAGAAATTATGAAGTTAATACCAGGTTGCTCATCATACCTTCTGTCCTGCAATAACAACACGATCCCCCAGCTTCAGGCCAAGCGATAAAAGCATGGCCTTGCCTGTGACATGATCATAGTTTGGAATCGTGGCTTCTGAGATGTCACACAAGACAGGCACTGCATCCAGCAATATCTGCTTGATTTCCTTTGCACTGGCTGCGGCATCTGCCATTTCCAGGGGCATATCTACTGGGTCGGGAACCACATCCGCTGGAATCTGCCCTTTGTCATTCTGGAGAAACACAACATAGCACAGGATTTAGTGTCATGAGAAGATAAACCTGATCAGGCAAAGCCATAGCAGTTCACGAACTTTTTTAATCCTCTTCATTAGATGCATTTCCTAGACTATAAGCAACTACAAAAAAATACATTTTCACATAAGAATGCCAAAACATCCTTACCAATATAAACTAGTATTTAGAGTGTCTTATTTTCAGAAGGGTTAAGCTAGCAAGATTTTTCATCTTCAAAACAATAGTAGTATTCAAAACACATGAAAAAAACCCTAGGCCAGAGTTGTTGGAGTGCCAGCTCACCTGGAGGTAACCTTAACTCAGGCCCAGTTGTCCAGACAGCAACTACGCTGCTGGGCTGCTAAAATGCCAAGCTCTACCTGCGGTTTCTTCAGCAAGGGCCAACGTACGGAACTTCACCTATCTGCCAATTTTCACACAGTTTGTGGAAACAGAATTATCTCAGTCTTCCAAGTTTGTCTCAACTGAGCCCCTGCACTCAGAACTTGCCAGAAGCTCAAAGAGGGAATGAAACAGAGCAAAACTTTATTTGATTTGTTTTCCTAAAAAACAGATTAAAAGCTTAACCTTCCCTGAGTCCCCCAGAAAGCTCCCCGTCTCAACCCTAGAAAACTATAATCCTTACTCAGTCATTTACACTCTGCTGTCCTCACTTAAGCAAACTCTCACAGCCTCTCTGGTCAGAACTTTATTGTGGGTAACTCTATTCTGCAAGTAAAAGGTCAGCCTTATTCAAGCCACAGCACCCTAAAGACAGGAGCAGGGAGCTTGCTTTGAGTTGTCCTTCATCACATCGGTCATTGTTTCGATCACATCAGTCCCACAATTCAGCCCAGCAAGTGCCCTGCAAATCTCTGTGTCAAGAGCAGAGGCAAAGAGGCAGAAGTGGACACAGTGGGACAGGACTGCTCTTCTCAAGGGCAGCACCACCTTGTGCCAGCTCAGAATGCTTGGACAACTCCAAAGTGCCGGACAGACTGTTCCATTTTCCCATGGCTTTTTTTCACCTTTTGGTGAATCTACAACCCAACTCCTTACCCTAAAGGCAGGATTCGCTCCATGTTCTAGTAAACACTTGACAGCTCCTGTACACAGGTTAAATGCAGCAATATGCAAAGCTGTTCCAAAATCAAAATCGCTACAGGTGGCATCCACATCTGCAATTAAACATCACATGTGAGGTAGACAAGTCTGTTTCATGAACATATCACCCTAGAGATTCCTTGAGAGGACATTCATTTTTAGGTTATATTAACATTTATACAGATACACCACTATTTATGTACTAAATGCATATGAGAAGTAATTCTACATAGAATATCAACATTACCTGCATCTGTTTAGTCATACCATGAACCAATCTGGAAGATAAGCATTTACTTTCACTCATTTTATAATACTGATGACTTAACTGCAGAATTAGTGCTATTTAGGATGTCCAATCTACTGTGCTAAGATTAACAAGTTAGTAACTTTCGGTTTGCATGTAAAGCAAAGTTTCAGAAATATTTCTATTTTATTGCTTCTAGGTGTCAAATGTTAAAATGAGATGTATCTTCAACCAGTTGTTTTCCTTTCAGAGCAGGCAATGGGGCAAGGAAAAACTGATTATACCTCTGCTTTGCACTGATTTAATTACTAATGGCGAAGAACGAAGTAAGAGATATAGTGATTTTTATAATTTCATCGTTTTCAAAGAATTGCACTCTGAAGAGCCTTGCACTGATAGCCTGGAAAATGGAGCACTGCATTTGACTAGAAGCATAATGTATATTTCCATCAATTGTTCCCAATATATCCTGCAATCTGCTATGAAGTTATTACTGTTGTAGAAGATTGGAGGTTTAATGTCCATTTAGTCTTTGGCTCCTCTCCTGAACTGTACAAGAGAGATGTCAGTTTGTGTGAATGATGCATACGACTGTTCATCAAAAATGCCAGCTAATTTAATACACAAACCAAAAGCCAACAATGTTGCTGTTGCTAAGCAATAATGTTCCAATTTGAAATACTGGTGAGGAACATAAAACTTTCCACCTCAGGGCTGTGCAGTCCCAAAAACCACCAGCCCTTCTCAGTGTGATGATACAGTTGGGATATACTCGCTTTGACTTATATAATTACACTAAACTAATATTTTAGGAGCAAATAAAACATCAACATGTATAGGAGATCTAGAAATACATATGTCTGTATAGGTATGTCAACTTTATACATATTAACAAAGATTGACTCTAAATTATATAAAGATCAAAGGTAACGAGTTTGGGATCAAATTTTAACAGTTTTACAGTTGCACTAACATGAATACAAACTTCATTATTTTACATTTAATTGGCACACGCATGAAAAAAGACCAGATTCCCGTGATGCAGTCATAACAACTGATGTATCTTTTATACATCAAATGTCAAAAGACCATTACCAGCTTAAAACCGAATAGAAGCTGGGTAGTTGTATACAACCATTGAAACGTCTACATTTCATGAGGCTATCAAGTTAAGTATTTTCTGCACACATAGGAACCAATTTGCAGAAATACTGATCAGGAACCTCAGCTACTGAGTTAGCAACAGTTGCATGTACTCCTACTCGAAAAAGTGACAATAATTATTTTTTTTATGAGACTAGAATGACTTCTTCAGACTCGCAAGCTTCATGCTTGGAGGTTTTAAACCCAGCTTTCCCACAGCTTTGTCCTAGGTCCAAGTTAGCATAGTACAGGTGACAAAAAGACAGACATATATATCAAATGTTACCCAGTAACTTCCGCCAAACTGTCTGGGGGAAATTCCTGAGCAGCAATGGTCTGTCATTAGCAACCCATGCAGGTTACAGTCATCGTCTAATGATGCAACACAACACTACTAATTCCTCAGCCTTTAACAATTTTTATATTTAAAACCTTTAAAACTCTAAGATCAAATTTGCAAACGATTGAGGAGTAAATCCATATAAAGAATTTAACTGCAAAGCATCATAAAGGAAACAGTTTAGCAGTAAATCAAAAGGAAACACCTGTGGTACTTGCTGTTTCACAATGGGTGCCTCAGAGTCAGTATACCACTATCTTGAAAGGTTATTTATACATTAACAACCATTTTTTCTAGAGTTCAGTATGGATCCATCCACAGCATATTTGCCTTCTACGTATATGTCCTCCCTTCTATGCAAACTGCCTGATGAAGTATGGAGCTAACGTTCTTCTTTTCATTAATTCAGACCATCCACCGTTTTCATGTCATAGGGCAAATAGTTTTATACATTTTCTGATACAAAAAAAAAAAATCACCTGCTTATCTAAGAGTTGCCAGCTGCCAAGGCATTTAACCACAGTGGTTTCCTTGGAAATAGGAGCGAATTCCCACCCTTTCTGCAGACACCGCACACGAGGGGATGAGAACACCAAATGCAAAGGAGGTCTGAAAGAAGACCTAAGATGCTGACGCAAATTATGGAGGCTGGACTACTGAAATGCAATGTGGACTTACCTAACTACTGAGCAGTGTTATTTTGTCTTTTCTTACCAGCCTACACATGTTCCTTCTTAAGCATTTCTTACCAATAACAGTGCTCTTTAACCATTACCTCTATGATGATTCAAGACATGGTAAGCAAGCCTTGTGTACTGCAAAGACTCATCAGCTTTTCAGAATTTTGAGACACTCTTTACTTACAACCAGCTAAAAAAGAGCACTAATCACTTTGCAAAATGGCACAGTCAGAGGGATATTCAGTAGAACAATTCACTGTTCGTACAATTTCAGTACTAAAATTGCTTACTGGTTTTGGTATCCTAACAAAATTAGGAACAAGTGGTTCTGGTTCAGAATAATTTCTGTATTTCCGTTTGTATAAACAGGGCTCCAACTACGAGTCTCTCCTAATATCATTCCAAAAGGTATTCTCTGTTTGCACCCAACACTAAAGTCAAACTGCTCCTTACACAGAACCTTTTAGAGAGCCAAGAAGTGGGAAAAATGAGCATCTGAAAGTTGCTTCGGTCACCAGTTTGCTGTATGCCATTGCCAAATCCCCACTTCTCCTTTGCTGTTCTCCAGGCATTTCATCAAACATACTTCTCATACTTCTCAACTTCTCACTTAAGGAATCTTAAAAACCCTAAGAATTTACCAGAGTAGTTACATCTTGGTTTTCTGCATAAATTCTCTTAGCCTTCAACGTAGAAGTAACCTGTTTGCTTTCCTTTCTCTGAGATACTTCTCTACTATCTTGTAGAAAGCTCAAGTTTAAAAACCAGCAATGGAATCAGTGCATTAAACCACAAAAAAACAGAGAGAAAGAGAAAAGTGAACCAATAAGGCTGGCTGAAAAAATAAGAAAGTAGATATTATTTATGCACAGTGGGTAAACAAACCCTACACTTAAATACCACTACACACCACATAACAACAACTGCATGAAACAAAAGTAACAATCCCTACCTTTTGGCTGGGCACTTTTCAAAATAACACTGATAAGTTCTGGAACATCAAAGTAGGCAGCATAATGCAAGGCATTCATATTTGTCCAGCGGCTGCGTAAACTGCTATCAGCACCCAAATCAATAAGCTGTCTCGCAAATTTTACAGCGGTTTCAACATCACCTGCAAGACAAGTTTTGTAAAATACGCATTAGATATCTATTTGACCTCAAAAAACGTTCATAAGCTTATGTGCAACATTGAATATACATTAAAGCCTTGAAGCTCACAGCAGAACAATTACTATGCCTCTCTTTTTAGGATTAGGATGCAGAAAATTTTGCTTTGTATTATAGAAGGCTGAAATTTATACTATATAACACTATGTGTTTAATGTAGGTAAGGTGTCCCCCACCAAAACCAGAGCTTTTAGACTCTGATAGAAGAAAAGAAATTCTGCCAACACCAGAAAAGCTAACCTATGCCAGGCCTCACCCTGAAACTTAGTTCAATCTCAGAGGAGAACTAGGTGTGGGTCAAAAAAAAAGCAGCACAACGAAGAAAAGCTAGTAAGTGTGTTCAAACAGAGTTAAATAAACTCTTCTTTCCAGTACTTCTGATCATAAAGAAGAAAAGAAAAGAACAGCCTGTCACATAAATGTTCTAGTTTCACTGATGTCAGAAAGCTGATGATAGCTTAGTTCGCAGTTTGTCCCTCAGTTTGAAACAGCCTTTGCTACATTCAATATACATTTAAGCTGGTACAATTCTTTGCAGGACTTATACCACTGACTCAACTTACTCCCAACTGCCACAGTTGCCACCTGTGCTACTTGTGAATCTTCCTTGCTGATGGCCACTAGAAGAGCCAAAACTAAGCACTAAAAAAACAACCTACTGCAAGGAAAAACTCTGTAAGAGTCAGTGGGATTAGTCTTTGTGAATAAATCAGGTTTTTACATCTACAGTCATGTTTCTTTACTCACCAATACCATGAGCCCCTGATTTGCAAGTGTAATGCAAGAGAGTCATATCAGTCAGTCCATCTCTGTCATTCACATTGCAGCCTCTTTTAATGATCTGAGAGACAAGTGGAAAACAAGCACATTTTAGCTCTGGTGTATCTCTGACATCAGCATTATTTAGTAAGTTATTTCAGCTATATTGACTCCTGGCTTCATTCCAATGGCTAATAACAAAGAAGCCTGCCAGAATAACTGTAACCGCAGAACTGAGTAACATGCACAAACGTAATAAATAGTATTATATGAATAACATTAACTTTCATTGTTTACAGATTTTAAAGCTTCTAAGTATTGTTACTTCTAACATACATTTACATGCTGCAAAGTTCACTGCTTAACTGAACAAAAGGACAATAACATCATTTATCAAGCCTCTCTCCTCATTCTTTGGTCTCTCAATTCCCCTCTTTTCCCCCCTGCAAAAAGCCCTGTTAGATCATAGTAGGAAGAATCTTCCCCACCTGTCTAGAAAAGCCAGAAGAAGAAAAATAATAGAGTAGGATGAAATCACTATAAAGAAAGTGTCTTCTGAAAACAGCCGACTGCAGTTTGCAAAAGGAGTTCAGATCCTAACTCATTTTGTGCCCTGGAAACACTGCCTTTAAGGTCAGGCTTCTCTGTAACTTCATATATTGAAGTTTGTGATTACTGCTAAGTAGGAAACCGAAACACCAAGGTGAAGGGTATCTAAACAACTGCTTTAAGAAGAAACACTGTTTCTGCTGCCTATTCAAGTCTACCCAATTTTTATCCATCACCTTTCTCTTTCCAAATGAAAGCTGACAACATGTGGAACACAAGACACTGCTCAGTAACGACTTGTTAAAGGGCAGAAACTCTGTCTGCATTGATGATCAGCTTTGCTTCTGAATGAGTGGATTAGTTGCCAACATGGCATTTCTTTAACGCTGAAAGCATTCAAGGGTCTTCATTTATACCTCACCTCATTCCCAATAATATCAATATTCTGCTGGACCTGTGGAACCCACTGCCTTAAGATAGCAAACAATTCAGAAACTGATGTTTTGGGGTTGAAAAGTATTTCTTGGCATGATACATCATTGGGATCAAAGAAGGAAAACTCTGTTAAACAAAAAAAAGGAATCATTAGATACAATTGTAAGTTTTAACATTTTCTCAAACTCGGAGGCAAAGAATAGCAGAGAGAGTCACTTCACTACTAATCACACAGGAAAATCAGAACGCTGAACTAATGTAGGAAGTTTTCTTTAACACCCAGTGTAATTTTTTCTTTAATACTAACGTCTTGCTTGCACTTCTGAGAAAGCTTTGAATCAGCAACCAATTCAATGGTACTGCAAGACTGATTTAAAGTTTAGGCAAGGACTGAGAGAGATGTGCAGTGATGATGCTAATAAGAGTTTACTCTTGCTTCAAGCTAGCCAAAGACGGCCGATGCTAAGCTGTGCCCAAGCACAGACAACAAGCCCTTTGATCTCTCAGTGATTAAATGCAGACGTGATTTCTCCATATACTACAAAACTTGTCTTGTACTTCTTCTTCCATCGCAATTGACATAAAACATAACGTATGCACAAATACGAAAGGCATTCTGTGGCCTCCAATATTTTCAGATATTTCATCAATGTATCAATCCCAACTAGTGGCAGCTGCAGGTAACAAACATCTTTAAAAATAAAGCCATCAAGATAAAACAAAAAAGATCTATTTTTAAGGTTTTAAGCCTCATGTTGCTTCAGGCAACATGAAGCATGGGTGTAAAAAACACCTCACTATTAAACTATGATATTTCATGTTACTTACAGGTCTGTGTGTCTGCATTTATAGACACATACCGTATCTTAAATCTGTGGAATTTCTTCCAACTCCGGAAAATTATATGAAAGAATCTGGATAGCAACGGCTACTAGGAGAGGGAATGCAAGCAGCATCTACTGTCATCAGCAAACGACTGAATCCTGGAAAACACTGAGCTTTTACCCTCGCTGCAGCCATCAGGGAGCTGCCTTTTAGAAAGGTTTCAAATAAACGCACAATGTCAGCTTGCAACAATCACGGACATAAGGCTCTCCCAATAGACATACAGGTGAAGTAAAATAGAGCCTCTGCCATCTGGGTGTATGACGGGGTATGAATTACCTCTGGATGAATCATCATCACCTTTCCTCAGAAAGAGCATACCAAACTTCTAGACTGAGTTAGCAGACAAAAGCACATCAGGAGCTCACTTACTGGCTATCTACAGTTCCCCCAACTGCACTGCCTTGATTCAACAAGAATAAAAAAGGACAACTTCACAGATATTTAGCATGAATTTTTAGTTGCACCTAGCATATCAAAAATAAACCCCCTATCTCCCAGCACTACACAAAGTGTGCTGCTTACCTACATTCTGTGCATTGACACAGATCTACTGATTTATCTACCAACATTTAACTTCCGCTTAAACCTCAGATGATTTCATCCCAAAAGCTAGGAAGTATGGAGACAACTTGCCAACAAGATTAATGATCTCACACAACATGCGTGATTCTTACTCTACCAGGAAGCTTTCCAGCTACTAACCCAAACCAAATTACGTCTCGGAAATCAGCTCTAACACGCTGTTACCATTAGCATGCTAGGGTAAAAACCTGAGAATACATTAAGTCCTAGTAACAACCATCACAAGTGCTTAACAGGTGATAGACTGGAGCCTTTGCAAACCAAAGAATGTTACAGAAAAGCTCTGAAAACAAAGTTCCATGAAGGGATGACAGTGGTGTCTAGACACTTTAAAACGTCACCTTCTCCACCTCTGTCTTTCCTATGCAGTGATTACATTGCTCAACTGTATTCAGTCAAAAATAAATGCACTTCATGAAAAGCAAGAATTTGTCTGTTGTGGCTTAACATTCTTTACCCAGATTCAGGAATATTACTGTTACACCGGTAACAGCGATCTCCTATAAAAGGAATTGGTTTTATTCCATGAGTAGGCATAGACTGAGCAGGACAGGTAGCAGTGATACTGTAGTGTTATTAAAAGATATCACAACACAACAATGTGTAAAGAAGGACAAATGGAAAACTTTCCTAAGGAATAAGAACGCAGAATGGAATAAATCATGGCAGTACTTAGAGCAGAATAGGCCAGACAAGTTAGGAGATCAGGGCTAAACCACAGAAAGACATGTTCATGTACTAAAACACATTGTGTGGAACTGTTAAACTTCCAATCTGCGCTAACTCATCAAATGGGTCTCAAGAATGCTGACTATGTCAAAGACAAAACATGTATTTATTTGCCCTGAATACAGTTCATTACTGTAATCAATGCATGGGAAAACAGAGGTGGAGACAGTAATTTTTAAGGTACAGAGATGCTACTAACATCTTCTGCAATATACAAAGGCATTATTATTGTAGCTACCTATGAAGATACCTACAGTGACAGCTTAATATATTATACATCCTGTTTAAAATATTCTCATTTATACATGTCAAGACAATTCAACATTATTTGAAAAGCCAATCGCCGACACTTGCTATAATTTGCTGCAAAAACTCATTTCCCAGCCCTTACCACCACAAACATCTACACTTCCAGACACACCTCCTATAGTCCATTGTTTACATACAAGAAAAAGGGTAACTCTAGTGGTTTCAAACGTGATGCAGATGTTTAACTACATTGAATTACTCTCATTTCACATCTTAACACAAATCCAGTTCTACACTGAGATGTAAAAAACCTACAAACATCTGACCACACACACACAGAAGAAACAGTAAGAAGGAAGAGATATTAGAACTTAAAATGCATGCAGTAAGAAAAACAGTAAAAGCATAGGTCTTCAACCTCTCATTTCCTTTAAAAAAATAACAGATAATTCGTGTAACAAGCACTAAACTTCTTCTGAAAAGACAGAATAAATTAAGAGTTGACAGCTTTTTTTTCTAAAATCGATTCTTCAAAATTAGTCTCTGCTGATCACAAATTCATCTCCTGTTAAAAGTACGTACCACAGTCCGAAGGCATTGGTGCTGCAGCAACAGAAAAAGTAACAGATGTCTCAGAGTTTGGGAATAAGAACTGTTTTCCGATGAGGGAACCTCCTTCGAAGGAGTGTTCTGGGAGATCCTCTATGGTCATCTTCTACAAAGCCACTTTAGGAGTGAAAAAAAAATGAGTAACCTCATTAGGAATACTTCAGGTTAGTTCTATCATAGTAAGGTATGTGTACTGAGAATAAAATCTTTCCTTTTTGCAGACGTAAACTGTTACCACTATTACATTTACCATTTACTATTACATTTTACTAGTAAAAGCTAGTAGAGTATGGTGTCAAGGACACCTAACTTCTAGTTTTGATATCATCACTAAACTTGCATGTTATTAATGGAAAACATTCTATTTCTCCCTAGTTTTCCACTCCAGCAGTGACAAAAATAATAATGCTATAATTAGCAAGCACAAGATGATGATGATGAATGGATTAGTGTGTTTTACAGGTTTATGAAAAAGCGAAGCACCAAGTACCTTTCCTCATACTCTACATGCATATTCCTTTCCATCACCGTGAGCAAGAACATGCTACCAGCTAATTTCTTCTCCTCTTCTAAAATCCTCTTCGCTTTCATCTTCCCACACAAAGCTGCACACAGTTCATCACTGAGTGATTCACTCCTGGACTCACGATCCCGTATCAGCTCCTTTCCCAGTTTCTCCCCTCTATGTTTTAAAACAGCAGACTCACCACAGTGTTGCAACCTCCACCCTGGTGTTGTTTCCAGTCAACTCCTCAGGCCTTTGAGCAACCTAGGAGAGAGAAGAAAGATTAAACGGCCGTACAGAGCTATAGTGACATTTTCTAACAAGCAGGCCAAGTTACATTGGAGTTACGGTTCACATGCCAAGATGAGAAGAGAGCTGGCTACCACTTGTAAGACATCTGCTCAGAAAAATTCAGTCACAAATAACGAAAAACACTATTCTGAATAGAAATAGACATTATTGCGCTATTGGAGATGACATCTCACAGTTGAAAACCTGACATTCTGCATCTTCAACTTTCATGGTCAAATACTTGGGGGGAAAAAGCAGCATTTCCACTATGCAATCTCAATTGTTATTCTGGAGATTGCTATACAGTGTTCTTTACTCAGAAATTTGTTTAGCCGGTCTGCTTGACAGAAAGAATTCATGGAGCTTCAAGCACGGTAAAACAGGAAACATTAAAAAAAAATAGAATAAAAACAAAAAGAAAAACAAGCTATGTGAATAGATTATTCTAATATTTCCCCAAATAAATCTGTCACACTATGTGGGAACCTCATATAATCTGCATTCTAATACAAAAGGCATTTTAGCAGTGGATTACAGGTGCCGATCTTGAAACAAATACATGAAAATCTCCTTTTCTTGCACACCACGCACAGTTCACCCTGTCCTCAAGTTTTAAAAGAGGTCCACATGAAAAATGCTCAGTCTTCTCCAACTAGTTTACTTCCTCAGTCCTATGCAGCTGTATAAATGCATGTGCTGGCACAAAGGGAAGATCAAGGAGGCCACTGGGAAGGGCAAGACTATTTCTTCCCACAGCATTATCACATTGCATTCACTTAAGCATTCTTAGATTCAACAAAGCCAAAATCATTACTGATTATTTCAATTATTGTTTTCACCCAGGAAGTAAAAGTTAGAGTTTACATTCTGAATGGCATTATAGTCATCATAAACATGACAGCAATGGCTTTCTTGTATGAGGGACCAGAAAGTCTCTTGAGCTGCAAGTCACTAATGTCTTTTGGAGGGCAACAGTGAAATAAATTTGCTACTATCTGATATTTGTTTAGAGGCTACAGCAAAACAAATCGAAGCGTTGTAAAACACAGCAATCCACAACAGTTTTCCGCAGGTGGCACATGGGACACTCTCATGAAATGCACAAAAGAACAAGTAATATGCATAAGTATGGAAGAGATGAGAGCTGAACCTGTTAAGTTAGAAAAAGAGAGGAAAGGGATTGTAAGCTTTTTGCTCAGCGCTGCCAACACTGAGGAAACAAAAGAAACATAATGAAAAGTAGCCAGACCTGATTGAGGAGGTGGTAAGAGGAAGAGGTGAGATTTGTAAAGTACAATGACAAAAGTTGCTTCAACTAGAAATCAACAGAGACATTTGAAAATTAATATAACAAAGACTGGTTATTGCACACAGAAAAACAGACCAAACAGAACAGAATCTGTGCATTTGCAAATATACAGGGCATCTCTGAAGGGCCAGAGGGTAGAACACGATCTGTCAGACAGTGAAAAGAATTCGACCCACAAACTACCAAAGCAAAACACACAAGGAAACAACCCATGGTTTTGGATAGGTGCCATGAAGAGCCAAGTGCTACAACGCATGCACCAACCCAAATCCATAAAGAATGGCTTCACATGTTTACACTGGTGCCAACACCCCTGACCTAAGTGTGCACATCCTTACACCAGGGGATTTTCATTTGGATCTAGAAATATGTTACCATGTGATTACATGGTACTGAACCATGCAATGTCAAGGAAACAACATGTTCTGCACCCATGACTACCTCCAGAGACTGCTAGCTCAAGTATAAAAACTTCACAACCAGTTAACATCACGCATGCATACCTGGAAAGATAAAAAGAAAGCAAAAATTGAAAATTATTGGGAAAAAAGGGAAAAGACAAAAAGACACTGTCCTCATACCAAGTCCTGTTCTGAGCAGAACCACAACTGCCTGAGCTATTAACAATATCCAGATATACAGACTCAGGTGGGAAGTCCTGGTGAAAATGGAATGGAAAATTCAGAAGAGCAATGATTTCCTTACATTAGTAGGAGTGCAGACAAACAGCAGGAAACAGTTAGAGAAATTAAATAAAAGGACAAATTTCCTGTTCACGGCACTGCCACACTGCTAAGTGTAGTTTAATGCAGCAGAGAGTATCATACTTACCATGGGCCAGCCATATATTCACACAGAATCACACAGAATATTCTTCTAACTGGATTCAATCTGAAATGAAATCCAGAAATATCACTGGAAAAAAGAGAAAACTTGAAGGAGCTATCAGACACACACACACTTACGCTGACAAGACTGAAGAGCAACCACAGGTTTCCTGATATCCGCACATTACAGTACCTTTGCATATGAAAAAAAAAAAAAAAGAAAAGTCATAATACAGGATCCAACTTTTTCATGTACCCCAGATTTTGCAATTTTTGCTAAAGCACAAGTACAAAGTTCTCCCACAAGTGCTCTAAAGCACTTCAAGGGATGAAATACAATTGTGCTGGGGTCTGGCAGCAGAACTTGTCACAAATGTGGTTATTTTTGGCAACAACCACTTACAATGGACTAGTTCTCGTGCACTTATATGTGCTCAAGAAGGAAAACTAAGTTCAGAGAACAAGACTCTTGCACATACACTACCTGCTTACTTCATAACATTTACAGCAGGAGTGACAGATGCGTTACGCGTGTACAGGCACACTCCAGACTGGTTTTGCAACTGGTATGAAGGGCTTGCTTGCAACACGGCACTTTTTGAGAAGCTGGACGTGTTGCAGAGTTCAGGTCCCAGGGCTCTCCAGGCCGGCCCTGCTCGCTCCAACCTTCCTGCATTACCCCCCAGCACAAAGCCGGGCACCGCTCGGACGCGACCACGGGCCGGTTACCACAGTGAACCCCCCAGAAG